CATTAACATAAACTTTTACACTTCTATTTCTAAATGAGTTTTTGCTCCATTTTACTAGAAGTAATCAGTCTTGCAGGATAGAAAACTGGAAAATTCGCGGGACCACACAGTTGTTTTGCTTTTAATCAACGTCTTATGACAACTCAGTAGATATATTTCAAAATTATAGCCAATGCGAAAAAAACATTTCTTTGATTGAGCTAATTTGGCGAGTGTGGGCGTAGCTGAGACTTAACAGGAGACATTAAGACATCAGACATCCACACCCAGCTAATATTAGTCTTTTAGTTGTCCCCATAGTTATCTACAGTTCTCTCGCATTTTTTAAATTATGATATTATAAAACCAATTCTACCGCTCTTGTTTTAGTGTTGGAAGCCCATATTTGTAGATTATTACATAGGAAAACTTCAATGAATTCCTTCAGTTAGTTTTTTCGGTTCATCTAATGATCTGAGACTTGAATTGTCATTTCCTAGAAAACAATCGAATTGTTCTTTTAGATTCTCTTCTGTTCTATTTATTTCGTGCATTTCTATCGTCTTTTCCGCTATTTTCAGTATCCAAGAAATGACTGCGAACAAGAACTGTTTTACTCCATTTCCATTATTAATTTCCCATGTCTTTCAGTAAAGATCCTTTTGCACACTTTTGAAAAATCTTGCAACAGCATCTCCCACCTCACACCCTTTCTGTGGCTTTCAATTATTTCCTTCTCAGAGACACCTTATAATGATAACAATATTATATCTTTCATCTGACTTATATTTTTCCGGAGAAAAGCTTTTCAATGGAGAAATTTTCACTCATTATTTATTTTGTCATGTCTAGAGAAATACTTCTACTAAAACAATTTTTCTTTATTTGATTTTTAATATCTGGAAAAGTTCTTGTAACGAGCGCAGTATCATTCAATTTCCTTTTTTATTTTAGTTTCCCAGAAGTTATTCAGCACCTTCGGGTGGCTGTGGGTGTTGATTATACTTTGACTGACACCCACACTCACACCCTGTTAGCGCAATCTCTGCGGGATTAAAATGTGAAACACGATCGAGCTACTCCCAACGTAAATGAAACAATTTACCAATATGTCTGTCACGGTCTGTAATGGAGAGAGGCGCTAACGATATCTGTCACGCTCTGTGATGGGGGACGTTGTTACAATGTCTGTCAGTCTGTCACAGTCTGCGACGGAGAGAAATCATTGTCAAGGATGTCTGTCATGGTCTGTGATAAGCCATTTTCAACGTGTCGGTCACGTTTGTGACATGTCGTTGCTAAGCCTGTCTGTCACGTCTGTGAGGGGCCATTTTTTACCCCTATGCACTTCAACACTCCTTTCAGATTGTGTTTCACAAATCGATGTTAACGTATTTCTCCTAAGGTCCAAACGTTATGTGTAACGACACAGAACATGTCGAGCCTTTCATACTTATGAGGAAACATCCCTAGGTGGCAAATCGCTTTTGGATCGAGTATATGTTTAAAGGATAGGCTTCGATGAGTTATTAAACACTCTAGAATAGCTTGGTTTTCCAGGCTTCCTGAACAAAGATATACGCTTGTTACTATTAACAGTATTATTATACGACTGTACTTCTATATTTGATATCTTGACTAAACATATTCTGATCTGATTCAAACTAATGTCACTAGTAAAACATTTAACACTGATTAGGATACCAAAGTATAAGGATAAATTACTGTTTTCTGTTGAAGTTCTCAATTTGTTTTACCTAACAAATGATTCTTAAAAAACAATGTGTTTTTGCTCAAAGGCGGAAATATTAGATGAACCGATGGTTGCATCTTTGAGCAAAAACACATTATTTTTTAAGAATCATTTGTTATGTAAAACAGATTGAGATCTTCGATAGGAAACATCACTTTATCCTTAAAATTTGAGATTCTAATCAGTGCTAAACGCCTTACTAGGGATACAAGTTTGAGCCAGATCAGAATGTGTTTAGTCAAGATCTCAAACATATAAGTACAATACTACAATAAGATTATTAACAGTGATAAGCATGTATCTCTACGCGGGAAACCTGAAAAACCGAAATATTCTAGCATGTTTAATAACTCATCAAGATATATCTTTTGAGCATGTACTTGATCAAAAACCGATTTGACATCTGCAAACGGTTCCCTGTCAGAGCTACTGGCGTTTGGTTTGCAATTGACTGGTCATGAATTCGAATCTCTGTTCAAGTTGTTGTTGGAAAAATTACCACGCTGTTGCTCACAGTATTTGAATATTAGATCACGGCTCGCTATGATGCGTTGATTCGATTCCGACATAGAGTAGTGGTTATTTTTTAAATTGTTTGGGAATAAAATGAACGCGTTCACACGGTCGAAAATCTTGCATTCCGAACGTGCTCCAACGCGTCTTTAGATGCAAACCAGTTGTGGCACTATCAGAATTTGAACAAATCAAGACGCGTTTGCTAATCTAAACGCGTTCAAACACCCGAAAATGTTGCATGTTGGAGGTACCCAAACGCACCAAGTGATATTGATTGTAAACGTTCAGGGACGCGCTACAAACCTAAAACTGGTTACATGAGTTATAATTCAAATGTTCTTGTATTTATTCGAATTACTACAGGTATATAATATATGACTCCACCGGATAAAGTTCTGGCAAGCCAGAAACAACCGTTTGTCATGGAACGTCCTATTTTTAATCACCATACAATCTCACTCTCACTCTCACTCTTAAGATCCGGCATCCCATTCCGTCTCTTTTCTCCTCTTTCATATCTTTCTCTTCGTTTTCCAACACGTTCTTTATGACTCCATTTTTCTTCAATTCCTAAAAAAATGATACTGGATGACGTTTAGTGTCTGCAAAAAAAGAGAGGAGAAAACGCCAAAAAGAAAGCTTTTAACAAAAAAAAGGGATAAAGAGGCGAAGTGGGATGCCAATTTAAGATAGTTAAATTGTTTACATAATTTTCAGAAGCAAGAAGTTTTTCAAATAAGCGACATCTTATTTCAACAAACTCTTCGATTTCCCATCATAGTGATCAGTTGAATCAATAGTAACAAATAAGATTGAAATAAGAACATGACAATGAAGTTGTGAAACTCAGCAGAAAAAAAAAACTTATGATTTGATCAATATGTCATGGCAGGGAAAAAATCTTTTATAAGCGCGATGGATTTGAAAAAGTGGAAAAATGTACCAAGTTTGATTGTTTGATCGATGAAATTCATTTCTTTTAAGTTGTTTAATCAAGCATACTGATAGAAATGAATTGTATTTAGATTAAATAAAATGGCTTTAAACTTCACTGATCAATCAACACACAAAGTTCCAATATCGAATGTTACTGAAGAACGAACTCAGGTGAGCAACGGATGGGTAAAAAGACTAGTCATTTTTCTAGTCGTGATGATGCGGCTTGTCCAGCAATAACCACTATTTAGGAAATGGAAACTCAATAGAAGTCTATATAATTCTCCTTGCCTTAAATTCCTCACATTCAATGTCACACAGCGAGTGAAGGTGAGAGAAGATACATCCACCACCCAGTTATTGGAAATTCAACAGAATTCTACTAGGAATTCGAGGATGTGAACAATTAGTGAAATTCTATAGGATCATATATCTCTAGAAGA